AGTTAATTGCAGAGTTAAATGGACTGATGATATGACAAAACTATTATTAACAGAAATGCAAAAAAACAAAGAATCTTGTACTTATTCAACGAACAACGCAAAATTAAATAAACATATATGGAAAACTATTGCTGCATCTATTAATACTCATGGGTATAATTTGACTGCTGACAATTGTTACATTAAATGGATCGGTATGAAAAAAAAGTATAAACTAATTAAAGATGGGCAGAAACAAACTGGTGCAACAAAACAAACTTGGGAATACTTCGATATTATTAATGACATGTTAGAGAAAAATCCTATAATTGCACCGTTGTCCATTGCATCTAATATACGTGGTTTTACAATAAATCAAAATGTTTCATCTTCATCTGATGAGGAACATTTCCAAACAATATCTTTGGATACTCCAAATCGATCCGCAATTGATCTGAAAAATTAAGAATATCTTTGTCAATTATGTATATAAACATAGGAAGCAACGAAATTTTACATAATTCTATTTTTTAAGTCAAGGTACCCCTACAGCACGAAATATTGCTACAACATTGTAGAAATATTTCAATATTACAAATATTGTAACAATATTTTTACAATATTATAGCAATATTATAGCAATGTTATAGCAATGTTTCGTGCTGTAGGGGTAGTTTTAATGTTTCGGCTGAAAAAATAGCTTTACAATTTTTAAAAAATTCTTTCATATGATTGGTTTACATATTTAAATTCGCAAGAAATTAAAAACAAGAACTAATATTAAACAATAAGAAATTAAAAAATGTCACATTCTCTCTATTATAGATGCAAGCTGCTTTCTATATTAAACGTAGCTAATAAAATCAAGATAATTATTACATATAAATGTAATTCAAAAAAAAGTCATTTATCTCTCTTTCTCTCTCTCTTTCTAAATTATTTCTTTACAAAAGCTATATAAGGTTTGTGTGAGATAATTTTGAAAATATATAAGAACTCAAGAAAATTCCAAAGACAAATAAAAGAAATATTAAAGAAAACTATTTTATATAACTGAATATATATACTTTAAAAGATTTTTACATGCAAAACACCCCATACTAACCTGTAAACTTCTTGATTTCCGAGGAACCATAACATAATGGCTATTTGCTGCCCAGGACACATTTTTTCAGCACCTTCCTCACGATAGAGATATTGTCCAAGATCTTGCACTAATCTTTCGTACGTGTGCTTTTCTACTCGAAAATGTGATTTAAAA